GCCCAGGGGGGTTCAGAGGGGACTTTGGCAGAGGCAGGGGCTACCCTAAAGGTGAAGAGCTCTCCTGAGCCTGTGCTTTTAGTTTCCTGCTCTTTCAGGGAAAAGGTGCTGCTCATTGTGGAGAGGGAGACTGGGAGTCCAGATCTGCTCCGCTGAGAGATCAGTAGGTGTGGTAGGAGCCAAATGAACTGCTTCCACTCACCTTCAGAGAGCCCCAGCATCACCTTTGTTGTCCTCATCAGGCTTTGTCTGACCTGCTCCTTACTGCCTGCATGTGGGGAGTACCTCTGGAGAGTGCCTGAAGCTGGGAGGTTTCTTCAGGGCAGAGCTGAGCAGGCAGAAGCTGGTGGTGGGCTCTATGATCGCTGACAGGGAAACATTTGAGGGCAGAGAAACCGTTCCCAGCAGGGATAACTCCAGGCAGCAGACACATGGCCAGAGAGCTATAGGAAACTCCAAGCAGCAATGTCATGAGAGGGAGAATTTGGAAAGCTCGCTGTCAGACCTTCCATGGCAGACCCCTTCCTCGGAGAGACCCTTGCTCTCTTCTCCCACCCAGCACAGCCTCTGCCCTCCAGGCTGTGTGCTCCAGGGCAGGAGTGGCCTCCGCTGCAGCCAGAGCTCCAGCACAGCAGAGGTGCATCTCTCCTGACACGTGGCCCCTTCCCTCTGCAGAGCCAAGGGGCTGAGAGCCACTGCCCTGGCATTTTGCTGCCTGGGAGGTGCTGGGCTCTGCTGGGCATGGAGAAGGCTTTCCTGAGTGCCCGCCTGCCGGTCCTCTCCCTGCTTCCCTTTGCAGGAGAGTCACAGAGCTTTTGTTTCTGCCTCCGGAGTCCTGGTTCTGCTGGACAGGGAGTCCGGCGGGGCTCTGAGCATCACTCCAGAATGGCAGAGCTCTCCTCTAGGACCTTTGTGGTGGCTGAGAGCACTTGATCTGCCCATGAAAATCACCCTCTTGGTCCTGTCCTCCTCATTGCTCTGCATAGCTGTGCTGGGAAGGAGAGCTGCTTTTAAATCTTCACCTTGAGCAGGATCCCTCTGCTCCCAGCCCAGTCCAGTCTCTTTTTCAGAGCCACCTCTGGGTGTAGTCCTCCTGCAGCTGAGAGCAGTGCAAGCACAGAGCAGCTGGGCACCAGGCTGATGGGCAGAGCAGCCCACCTGTATGTGAGCACTGGCGGAGGTTTGCACTGAGAACAACAGGCCAATGGGGGAATTCTGCCATTTCCAAAAATACTTGCACTGAGAGAAATGGGGAAACAGAATTTTACCCTTTCCAAGATATTTCCCAAGTGGGATGAGGGAGTCTGAATGCTAAAACACAGTGTAAGCAGACACATTTGCTTCACCTCATTTCCCACCTTGCTCTGTGGATGAAAGCGTCCTTCTGAGTTTTTTACCCTGTGCTCTAGTGCAGCACAGGGATCTCCTCCCCAGGAACACCCCCTCCAAACACACGGGGCTGTTGCTACCTCCACAAGTCTGTGCTGTAAAGCAGGGCTGATCCTTAAGAAGCCCATGGGAAGAGGGCATGGCTCTGCACAGCACACTCAGCCAGCACCAACCAGAGGTGAAGCCTCGGAGCTGCACAGCAGTGCCCCAGGAAAGAAAAGCACCCATAGGTGTTTCAGAATGAATGAATCAAATTTTGCTCAGAGCAGCTTCACTAAATTTTTCCTGGTTTATCTCCTTTACTAGTTTCCATGCCCAGAATCAACAGATGTCCAACAGCAGCTCCAACACCCAGTTCCTCCTCCTGGCATTCACAGACACACGGGAGCTGCAGCTCTTGCACTTTTGGCTCTTCCTGGGCACCTACCTGGCTGCCCTCCTAGGCAATGGCCTCATCATTGCAGCAGTAGCCTATGACCACCACCTCCAAACCCCCATGTACTTCTTCCTCCTCAGCCTCTCCCTCCTTGACCTGGCCTTCATCTCCACCACTGTCCCCAAAACCATGGCAAACATCCTGTGTGGCTCCAGGGCCATTTCCTACCAAGGCTGTGCTGCCCAGGTCTTTATGCTTGTCTTCTTGTTCTCAGCAGCGTTTTCTTTCCTCACTGTCATGGCCTATGACCGCTACGTGGCCATCTGCAAACCCCTGCACTACGGGACCCTCCTGGGCAGCAAAGCTTGTGCCCACATGGCAGCAGCTGCCTGGGCCAGTGGCTTTCTCCATGCTGTGGTGCACACGGCCAATATATTTTCAGTCCCCCTCTGCAAGAGCAATGCTGTGGGCCAGTTCTTCTGTGAAATCCCCAAGATCCTCAAACTCGCTTGCTCAGATGCTTACCTCAGGAAACTTGGGCTTATTGTGGTCAGTGCCTGTTTATGCTTTGGGTGTTTTGTTTTCATTGTGCTGTCCTATGTGCAGATCTTCAGGGCTGTGCTGAGGATCCCCTCTAAGCAGGGAAGGCACAAAGCCTTTTCCACGTGCCTCCCTCACCTGGCTGTAGTCTCTCTATTCCTCAGCAGTGTTGTGTTTGCCCACCTGAAGCCCCCCTCCATCTCCTCCTCAGCCCTGGATCTGGGTGGTGGCAACCTATACTCGGTGGTTCCTCCAGTAGTGAACCCCCTCATCTACAGCTTGAGGAACAAGGAGATAAAGGAGGCCCTGCAGAAACTATTTGGACACAGAGTACTACAACAACAATAAGCTGTCCTGCATCCTCATTAAAAACTCAGATGATCTTTTGATTTTATGTGTCTTGTTTGTCTCTTTATTATATAACTCGTATCAATTTTACTTAAATATTATTCTTATCCTTTACCTATGTTTTCTGACCTGAAAGACCTCATGTACCTATGGAGACATGCTCCATGTGTAAGGAAACACAATAAATAATCCAGCAGAAAATTATTTGTCTCTGCTCCCATCTCTTACATGTCCTCTGGAGCTGGAGGTACAGTCCCACCATACAGGATGGGACAAGGACCACAAGCCGAGCTGCCACATGGAGGAGCAGGCACTTGTCGACCTCAGGACTGCCCCTTGCTGCCTCAGTGGACAGACCCTTTCTGCTACCTTCACTTTGGGTCTGCTGCTTCCCTGGAGACATGGCCATGGACAACAGCAGGACCTCATCTTCTCAGAGAAGCACTGCCAGCTCTGGGCCCTGTGCAGAGCATGGGGTAGTAACCAAAAAAGGCCATCCAGGCCAGCCTGGACATGCTCACTTGGGGAAAAGGATGTCCAGGGAGAAGAGTAAGGGAGCATTTCTGAGTCTGCAGGGAGGAATCCACAGGAAAGAGAAAACTCTTTCTGCGTGCACCCCCTCAGGGCAGGCTGCTCTGCCCGCTGGCCAGGACTCTTGTGCTGGCCTGGGGAGAGGGGCTGGCAGAGGCAGCCTGTGGTGGGGATGACCTAGCCCAAAGAGCAGGAGTTCTTCAGTTTCACTGACCTCCATTTCCTCATGTCGTGGTGAGGAGGCTGATCCCTCTCTGCCCCCCAGCAGCTGCTGTGCCCTTCAGAGGGGCTGGGGCTGTGGGGTGAATGCCCAGAGCTGCACCCCGTGGTGGGCACTGCCATGGGGCCAACCCAGGCTGGGATGCTCTGCAGGGGTGGGCTGGGGAGAGGTCAGGAGAGGTGGGGAGATATGGGGGAAGAACTGGGCTGGGCTCTAAATACCCCGGGAGAGAAAAATACCAGCGTAGAGCTAAGCCACATGTGTGTTCAAGGGGGGCACACAGAAATGTTCTCGTGGTGCAGAGCCAGGCATTATGGTGAAAGAAACAAGGCGCCAAAGGTGTAGTAGGGAGGGGACCAGTCTCTGCCATGTTCCCTGGCTATCCTGGTGAAGTTACCCCAGCAAAATCGTCCCTCATCAGTCCACCACACCTGCCATCTCCATGTCTTTTCATATACCCCAGCTCTGAGGAGGGGCATTTGCTGCTTGGTCACCCCCGTTCTCTTCTGGGATTTGGTGAAACCCAACTCCACTGCCAGTATTAATATAAAGGAAACCAGTTTCCTACTGACCCTCATTACACATGCCTGGAGGTATTTAAAAGATATTTTGATGCAACGATTAGTGAGATGGTTTAGTGGTGGACTTGGTAGTCTTAGGTTAATGGTCAGACTTGATGACCTTAAGGGTCTTTTCCAAATCAAATGAATCCTAGAATCCTAGAATTCTAGAATCATCTAGGTTGGAAAAGACCTTTAAGATCATCAAGTTGAACTGTTGATCATAAAATCCCACCATTGTTCCCCAGTTACATCTGCATTGGTGAATAAAAGAAAGCCAGGGTCCAGTCCCCAAGCAAATATGTATTCTGCTCAGGACTAGGAACAGTCTGGCCATGTCCACACTGCTGAAACATGATGCTGGTCTTCTCTGGGCTCCATGTTTCGTCTGTCCCTTAAGTGGAATTAGCATGTGTGGGTGCCTTTCAGTTCAAGCTGCCTGAAGCATTGCTTGGGCTGGGTCACTGCCCACCAGGACAGTTTTTCTACATCATAAAACCAGGGGGAATGTATTGTATGACCTGAGGTTTGGTCTGAGAGCACATGGATGTGCTTGAGGGTGCAGACCCCCAAGGACAGGTCTGAAGGATTGTGCATGGAAGAGGGAGTTGGACATGGTGCAGTTTGCCCAAACATTTTTGAAAACAACCCTGGGAATGAGTATTGCCATAGCAAGACCTAGCTGGAGTGGTCAGTGCGGAGCTGGGGGAGCTAACCATGAAGTGGTGCACGCAGCCCCAAGCTTGAGTTCACTTTCTGGTGTTGCTGTTTGTGTATCTTCAGCATCTCCCCAACTCCTGGTAACAATATCAAGCATTTGTCAACACTGAAGTGACTGTGATAGTAAGCAATGAGGTCGATGTTTCCTAACAGCTGGGGATCGGAGCCATTGTTTCCATACATGGCCATGAGTGGGATGAAAGTCCATTTTTGGGGCTGCTCAAACAAGGTGTTATTCAGAAACATACTTGTTCCAATGTTGTTACGGACAGTCATGCAGTATTTGTCTTCCTTTGCGCACATGGAAATGGTCAAGCAGTTCTTGTTGGACTCCTGTGATTGGCACACGTAGCATATAAGTGAATCTATGGGTCTGTGATAGTTTTTGCCACAGCTGTCTCTCAGCCAAGCCCATACTCAGACAGCTCAAACTAGATCAAGTGCTCATGGCCTGGTCTCAACAAATATTGAAAATCTCCATTGATTGAGATCCCACCAACAGCCTGGATCCTTACTCCAGTGTTTGAGGGATTTCTCAAAAATCCCCAGATCTCTCAGCCTCTCCTTGTCCACAGTGTGCTCCAGGCTCCAACAATCCCTCTGGCCTCTGCAGGACTCACTCCAGCCTCTCAGGGTCTTTCTTGTGCTGGGTGCAGCAGTCCTGATATGGTGGTTCTGTAGTGGGGCAGCGTTGGCTCAGAGAAGAGGCCAGAAAGGCTGACACTTTTGTAGGAGTGAGTTGTGGTTTGTATCTGGCCAGCAACTAAACACCCAGAGTCACTTGCTCACTCCCCCACTACAACCCCAGGGAGGCAGGGGAGAGAATCAGAAGTTTGAAACCAGGGAAACTCATGGGCCCAGACAAAGACGGTTTAATAAGTGAAGCTAGAGCTGTGTGTGCAAGCAAAGGAAAGCAATGAATTCACTCACTACCTCCGACTGGCAGGCAGATGTTCAGCCATTGCCAGGAAAGCATCGTGTGTATCAGTTACCTGGGAAGACAAATGCCATGACCACAGATGTCCCCCCTTCCTCCTTCTTTCCTTGAGTTTTTTTGTTAAGCACGACACCCAATGGTATGGAATATTGCTTTGGTCATTTGGGGGCAGCCTTGCTAACTTCCTGCATACCCCCAGCCTACTTGCAGTGGGGCCCAAGTATGAGAAAGAGAAAGCCTTCATGCTCTGCAAGGACTGCTCAGCAATAGCCAAAACACCGGTGTGATATCGGTGCTGGTTTAGTAACAAATCCACAGCAGAGCACCCTGTGTGCTGCTATGAAGGGAATTAACTCCCTTGCAACCACACTCAGGACAGAGTTACAGGTCATACAGCCAGGGTGAGGAATGAACTGTCTTACTTAAATGACCCAAGGAAATCTCTGAATCACAGAGCTTGGCTCTTATGGGGGACTCAGTCTCCACTTTATTCAAAGGTTGGGTAATACAGCAAGATGCAGACAGTCCTGGAGGTTTCTCTCAGGTTTTGTGGACCACTCCTGAGCACAACTGCCGGGTGGGCCACCCAGTCTGATGCTCACCTGAACCTGTTATTCCCAAAAGAGGAAGAGGCGGTCATGGATGTGAAGGCCAGTGGCCGCCCTTGCTGCAGTGACACTGAAATTGTGGTCTCTCACATCCTGCTGGGAAGGGATGATTTGAAGGCAGGTTCGCCGCAGGTCCTGAGGCCTGTCTAGAGGTTTTGCCTTTCCCCCAACTCATCCACAGATCTCACATCTGGCTCCTTCCAGCAGGATTTTGGAAAGCCTGTTCCCAGCTGTGAGTACTAGGCTGTTGAACAGGACGACCAGTTCGTGTAGGCTTACCAGGAAAGAGGGGAGCTTTAGAAAGCAGACACAGTCTCCATAGGAGTATAGTGAATGCCTCAACTTTATTGCAAAGTGCAGGTATACTTATAGAGCAGAGCAGGGTTCACACAGCATAAGCAATAATTTCATAGGTGTAACACTGTCCATACACTTCTCCTCTAATAGCGATTGGATATATACAGCAAAGCCTCACTCAT